TTTTAAAATAGGTATGCAGGTGCACTATCCAAACTTAAATTGTTGTAATTTCTGAACACTTTGAAATACAGACATAAGGTTGGTCTCTTTTTAAAGAAGAAAATCAACAGATTATCGCAAAAGTGGAATTAAAAATTGAAGTATCAAAAAGTTATGGTAGTTTAAATTTACTGTAAAGAAAATGCACTATATTAATTTTATTTTATTTTATATATAATACATATTTTACATAACAGATTTTACTCTAAAATTGATATAACATTAAAGCCTTATGTCTAAATAAGTTATGTTCCAAATTTGAAGTTGATATGAAAAAAATTGAGGTTCCTGTGAGATTTTATTTAGGGCGTTATACAGCACTATATTAATTTGATTTTATTTTATATATAATACATATTTTACATAACAGATTTTACTCTAAAATTGATATAATATTAAAGCCTTATGTCTAAATAAGTTATGTTCCAAATTTGAAGTTGATATGAAAAAAATTGAGGTTCCTGTGAGATTTTATTTAGGGCGTTATACCAGAAACAGCCACCGGGTGCCATCCAAACGCCATTACATTTTTTAATGCATTTTTCTGTCACAAATGTCTAGATAAATGTCTAGATTTCTCTGTCAATATTACTTCTATCTCAAAATACCACTAAATATGGAATCCTCAGACTCAGACCTTTCCAATGATATGTTTTTTGTCAAGATTATAAAAAGTTTTGATTGTAAAAGTGCGTAATGCTTTTTGTAATATGACACTTGACACCGCCCACTAAGGGAGAGGAGACCGCCAAAATATTTTAAAGTACCATTTCCATGGTAACACAATGTCTGATTTCAAAATGTGTTTCACAGGATGAATCTTTGGCTTCGAAGCTTTCAAATGATATATGATTTATGATGATTACTAAAAGATTTTATAGAGAAAAAGGACAACAAAAAAAAAGAGTGCCAAGCGTCCCACAGTTAAGCCACGTTAAGCGTTTTTCATGTTAAACGTTTTAGAATGTCCCAATTTTGGTCATTTTCCCACACAATGTGGAGCATAACCTGGAGAGTTTTAGGTGACAAAAACTTGATATGACACCTAGCCTATAAACACTGGGGCAAAAATGCTGCCATATTTTGAGTATATAAATATGAGTATATATTTGAGTATATAAATGTGCAGGAGTTTCCATAAAACTCTTGTGTGACACTTCATGGTTTCTTCATGTACAATAGTATTTTTATTTTATAGGGCCTATTATACATTTTTATATTATTATACGAATTGTTAGAGCAGGACATTGAGTATTTTAGTACATTGTTCTGCTCGCAACAATACAGGAATTGCTTTAAAACAGTGATACATGTCTGTTTATGCATTTTTGACTAAGATATGCGATTTGCAGAATTTAATATGCTGGCCTGATTTTACATGTCTGAGCTTTATGAAACCTGGTGAAAGTGCTATTTTACTTAGGCTACGGTATGCATTTTGCTGATGAGGTAACAATGTAAAGTGCTTACTCGTTTGTAAACCGGCTCTAGTGCTGATTGATGCTCCTCACTGAGGTGTCTGACTGCCGTCAAGCCAGATAACTTGACTTGTGTTGACTTGATCTGTCCAGATTTGAAACACCAGACATCTAATGGCTGTCAGAATCCTCTACGGTCTCGTTAATCAAGCCATTCTTTCCATTGCTTCCTGCTGTCTGTAAAAGAACAGACTTCGCTGTGATCTTCTCTTCCCCTGACCCTGCCCTCTGTTCATGTGTACTGCACGACTGGACACCGAATGTGGTTAATTAAGTCTCTTTTTCATTGTCTAACTGTTGGTTCTATCTATTTTAAGTTATGTATTATCAAGTACCAATTCTGAAAAGAAAATCTCTCCTATTGGCCTTTTATTGCTTCCCTCTAGTGGTTAAACAGTGTTAGTGCATTTGTGCCACAGTTGTATGGTTCAAAACTATGTTAAACAAACATTCAGCTTTCTAGCTGAAAGTCACACGTTCAGAACACTGCTGCAATATGCACATATTCTATGGAATAAACACAATGTTGTACATATACATATTGTACATATCCAGACCTCCTATGGTGTATTTAGGTCGAAACTGTGTGTTTAACACAGAGGTGGCCCTCCAGGACCAAGTCTGGGCACCCCTGGTTTAACATATCAACAACTGACTCTGTCAATTGAGGACAATATTTATTGCTGATGAATCACAAAAGTCTGTTACATCAACACTGTTTTGTGTTAACATTGTTACATAAGCAGTTTCAGTTACATGTTTTGAGCGTATTCTGCCAAAACACCCTTTGTGAAGGAAATGTGTTGTGCTGTTCTTTTGTTGTTATTGTTCATCATGTAATGATGTATTTCTCCAGTCGTCCAGTAGATAGAGCCAGAGACACAGATGAGTTATTGTATGTCTTTGTCTCTGCTCTACATTGTTCTCACTTCAAAACACTGCAGATTCTAGAATATATCTAGTGGGCAGTGCTTATACTGCTTAATGGGTTATTCAAGTAATGACGGACTAATCTTGTGCAGTTATTTGAAGCTGAATTAGTGGAGTTCTTTTCTATAACAGCCTATTTAATATTAGTAATTTCAGATAATCTGCATCTAGTTAGACACAATACATTTTCATGCATTTAGACGGTCTCGTCCTGTCTAGGTGGGAGGTTTTTGGCTAGAATAAGATGTAAAGTGGACCAGACTTTATGCTCATAGTCAGAAATCTGGATAATCAGAATTATGCAGCCAAATCTTTCTCTCACAAATTTTTTTCTATGGCCTTTATATCCTATTAAAAGCCTAACAAGGAATCTTTCTTTAGAAACTTGTTAATGTGCTGAATAGATGTAATTAGGGATTTAATTATTTAAAACACATTTGCACGCAAGCTACATTTAATCTCTCTGTTTTATCTCTTCACAAACGACCTGCTCTAAATCCCTCTTTTGAAGAAACAGATGGAGGAAAATGTGACAGAGATGACATTTGCCCAGCAACACACTGGAATTATGCTCTTAAATGCCGAACCGACTGAGATACACAGTTAATGTGCTTTCACTTGCCGTTGGCTGCTGTTTCCGCTGTCTTCCGCTGTTTTCCTCAGCCAATTGCTGCATAGCTCTTTCTTATTTATCCAATCAGAAGAATGCATCCCACCCCCTGTCACTTCATTAATATTCAGCGACTGCAGTCCCCCATCATGGGCTCAGGTGGTGCACAAAACAGAGCGGGAACATGTGAACGGTGTGAATACAGAAGCACGCACCGCTCGCATCCATAAAACAACACTATCAACAGCAGTAAGGCTTCGATCTCAATTCAGATGCTTTTCTTTGTCTTAGAATGAAGGGGTAATGCAACAGTGAGTCTCATCGCAGAATGAGCTTCCATTTCATTTCTGTTGTGAGGGGAGATCTATACTTCCAATCCTCCACTGAGCTTGCACTGTAAAGGATTGTTTTTTTTTTTTTTTGTAGTTTTTCCAGTAAATATATCTAAACATCCATAAAACGAGATTTATTTGAGAAGCAAATTAATTAAGATTTGTTTTCAAATAATATATCTTTTTTGTTTTGTTTTTCTTACTCAAAAAAAATTCTTACATTGAATTTTATTTCTTGTTTTAAGCATAAATTTTAAAAAATTATGTTTTACAAACGTCTTGCGAGGCAATAAAGCATCAGCTGCTAAATGCCTTCTGTTGTGGTTGACCACAACAAGGGAACTGCAAAAAAAATAAAAATGGTTTGTAATGAGTATTTTTGATGTGTTCTGTTATTTTTGACATGTTGATTAATTAAAGGGGTCATATGACGTTGCTAAAAAGAACATTATGTTGTGTATTTGGTGTAATGCAATGTGTTTATGCGGTTTAAGGTTTAAAAAAACACATTATTTTCCACAAACTGTACATTATTGTTTCTCCGTTACGCCTTCTTTCTTTGCGTGAACATTTGGGCAGCGTTATGCAAATCTTCCCACATAGTGATGTAGATATGTGGGGGCGTGTTAGAACGAGTCGTTTTAGGTAGGTGTGGTTGACTCTTAACTTTTATAAAGAATATCTCTTTAGATTTGAGACTTTAGTCTTTGCAACTTTACAGATCTTCTTTATGCACCAAGAGCTTGTAACACTCCAAAGAGAAAGGAAAAATTTAAATCGCATCATATGGCCCCATTAATGTTCTGAACAATGTTCTGACTGTGTTCTGTTACTATGTTGCCCATCATTTTCTCGTTCATTGTGGACGGACAAAATGCATGACTGTAAACATATTGTATTGATTCAAATTAGGACTGAATTACACTGAAAGGGATAGTTCAGCCAAAAATAAAAATTCAACCATTTATTCCCCCTTATCTCATTCCAAACCCGTATATGCTTCATTCTACTGTCTTAGAGACACAAAATTCAAGTCATTATTCTTTAAAAATCTTGACATCTGCCATAGCTTTTCTTAGCAAATTCATGCTTAATCAAAATGATCAATATAAAAAGCAAAATATAGCACTCTAGTCCACTTTTATGGTGCTTTTGTGTCCTTTTTGCTGCATAAATGAATCACATGTATTGTAATTGTATGGAAAAGAGCAGCATGAACATTCTTCAAAACATCTCCTTTTGTGTTCTTTGAAAGAAAGTTGCACAGGCTGGAAACAACATGAGGGTGAGTAAATGGCATTAAAATGTTAATTTATGGATGAACTATCCTTTTAAAAATAATAAAAACAAATGTAGTTCAAGATATATTTTCTAAAACAAGTCTTGATATCATGCACAGTTTTGCATCTCAAGTAAACTGATCTTGTTTTCAGGCTATTTTAACTGGGAAACAAAACCAATACTGATGATCATTTCCACATAAAGTAATTTATTGTGCTCCATGCGAAAGCTCAAGACAGCAATGATGGTTCAATACAGACGTCCCCCTCTTTCCGTGTGTGTGTTTGTGTGTGTACGCATGCATGTGAGGGCGTGTTAATCCGCACACAGAACCCATCAGCATCAACCCCCCCATTCCTCCCTTCACTTAGACACTTCCAGCTGGTGGAGAAGGATACGCGCGTAAGATTCTCCATCCCAGCTGCCCTCCACCCATTCTCTTTCTCTCATCCCATCCCTCTCTCCGCTGCGCTCCGTCCCGGCTGACTGCACGGTGGGGATGGGTTTAGGTAGGGCCAGAAGGACTCAGGAAAAAAGCGCCAAGAGGAAAGCACCGTCTCCTTGAAACGTTCATCTCCTCTCACACATATGCAGTTTCCCAGCTTCAGCTCTTCGGTGGCTGCTCACAGGAACACATAGACCTTACAGAGGGTGCCTGGGGGAGATTTTTTCTGGTCAGATTTTGATTCTGGTCAGTCTTTATTGACTGGAAGACACTTTATGAAAGGATATCTCACTTGAGCTTTGCATCATGGCACATGCAGCATCCCAGCTGAAGAAAAAAGCAGATTTGGAACTTACAGCTGCCGAGGAAGAGAAGAAGAAGAAGCCCAGAAAAAGGTCCAAAGAACCAAAGAAAAAGGTACCAATAAGTCACGGCTCTGAGGGGGGCGCGTTTTGGCACTGGCATGCAGGTTGGGTGGGATGTCTGGAAGCATCTTAAAGGTCTGGGATGTCACTTTAAGGGCCATTACAGTTCAAGAATGGTTTTTGGAAATAAAAATAAGGCTTTCAAGTAGACTGCAGTGATGCTGCTGAGTCCTGTGTGGATAGGAAACGCTTATTTATAGGGCGAACATGTGCCTCACAAAGAAGGCGCACACTTAGAATGCAGAATACACAGTTGAACACAACATTTTTGAGGGCAGATTTTTACTCTATATTGTTAACATTTCTCACCCGTAGTTAGATATCAAATAATGCTTTATAGTAGTATATCATAGTTGTTTATTGAACTTAAACAGGTTGGAAACGCCAACCCATAAGATAAGAGGTTTTTGTAGATTGAAGTGGCGGTTGTCTTTTTTTTTTTTTTAGATGCGTGTGGGTGAGTGTGTTTTTGTCTTTGATCCGCGGTGGGATTCGTTCTCCACGCTGATGCGTGACTGGTGTCATTTTTATCGCGGGCTATGCATCCAGACCCCCGGGGGCTCACGAACCTTCTCCCACGGGCTTTATGAAAGATTACCCCCACCCCACCCCCGTCCCAGACAGCTTCAATCCCATTACAAACCCACATCAACCCATCCCATCAGTCACAGACCTATCTACATACGCATCTGCTTCTGTCTTAGCTGCTCTTCTCTTAGAATCAACCAAAGAATAGATAAAAATGGTCAGAAATAATTGGATATTTGGCATCCCGTTCTTTTTTGTTGTTGTGGAGACTGCTTTGCACATTTCTTGTTTGATTACTGGTTGTGGTTTACAAGAAAATAAAATTTTAGTCAAATTCCATGTTTAGTTCAATGTGTTACTTGCCATTTCATTGTAATTATATGTGAACTTTAGCCATTTCTGAGTGAAAATTGTTTCAAAGTAAATCCTACACCAAATTGATTTCTGTGTATAGAGTTGTTCATTCTCATTTCTTATAAGACAATGAACATTATCATACAGTCCTTCTTAAATTGGCTATAATAACAGCAATACACAGCAATCCTACACAAGATTTTAATAATATTATTCCATCACCTTTATGTTAATTCTTGGTAATCCTGTATGAAACCTTGCCAGACAACAGCATACACATATAGTGTTAACAAGCCAGCTTCGCTTTGTCCCTCACGGGACATTGTGTCGTGATTGAAATCCTCCCTTCAACCTTTTTAAGGACTGAGAGCTTAATTCTCAATGACCTCTGTCATTCATGTGCGCGTGTGGCTGAAAATCTACACCCTAGAACTTTATACAAGCCATTGATTCACATTCTGATGGCCCACAAGGTCACATCTCATTACAAACTGTTGCGGATGTTGATAACTTGAATAACATAGATGGAAAAAGATTATTAGTGACTCAGGTCATAGTAAAATGTATGTATTCTAGTAGTACAAAGCAGTTTAGATTTTGTGTGTGTTTTTTTTAGGATTTTGCAAAATGTTAAATAAAGTAATTTTTTATTTAATTTTATTTTACTGCTTCAGTGATAGCCTTGTAGGCAGTGTGCCGACATATAGTGCCGTTGTTCGAAGTTCGAATTCGAATCCCATTCAAGTTCGAATCCCGGCTTGAGAACTTTTTTCGCTCCTGCCCCTCTCTCTCTTACCCAATTCGCTTCCTGTCAACTCTAAACTATCCTATCACGATAAAAGGCAAAAATGCCAAATATATATATTTTTAATTCAGTATTTCATTTATTAAATATTTCATTTCATAATTAAATTTTACATGAACTTAAATATTGAGTAAATAAATGCTCCGTTTGTGACGTAAACCATGAACTTCTTTGTACGAAAAGGTCAGATTTTCGTACTTTTTTAAAAGCTCTTTAGAACATCTCAAATCGTTTGGATTCATTTTGTTTTATTTGTTAATTTTTAAATTCAACTTCTTGCACAAATTGTTATGCTGATAATATAATTTGTAATGCTAGATTGTGTTTTAAAAGAGTAAAGAATACCTTGAAAACATAATTTGAAACAATTTTCAATGAGAAATTGCTAGTAAATTTGACAAATAATTACACAGAAACAGCAAGTAATACATTAAATTAAACATGAAATTTTGAAGTAGAAGGCTGAAAGGGTATTTTCTTATAAAATGTCTTGTAAAATGTCTATTTTGTATGACTTTTGGACCCCAGTGTGAGAAATATCAATCATCAACATCTGCTGAAATCACTTTACTGATGTTGAAATATTTTAAGCACTTCCAGTTGACCAGAAAAAAAAATTGAATATGGTATTCATACTTGTAGAATGTGCTTAAGAACGTCTCGGCACTTTTTTTTATTTTGTACAGCTGTGCTCAGCTTTCATCACAGGTTTGTGAGGTTCGGCTTAAGTATTTGGAAATTGCAGGGTGTTTTTCAGACTCCAATTTGGAGCGAACCTCTCAGTGGTTCTATAATGGGTGCAGATGGTAAACGTTCGCTCAGGGTATCAATAGCTGAGAGGACTCCCAGTATAGCTGTGGTCAAGGAGAGATGCTTCTAGGTTATTGATTGTGTTGAGAGGTGTGGCATTCGTACAGGAGAACTGTGCGCCAAAGCACTAGCTCTGGATTTATTTATTAGCCAAAAACTTAAATATGAATTATTCCAAGCTTTTGACCATTTAGTATATGTCTCAGGGTCCTCCTTCAGCAGTATTTATTTGTTTATTTATTTTAATTTATCTAAAATAATTGTATTTGTTTTACAATGTTGGACTGCTATATTTCAGCTGTTGTCCATGCAGTTAGCAAGACACAGGGACACACTATCCTCATGCGCTTCAGGTTTGTACCTGTCCTGGGATGCTGACATTACTGGAGATGACGAGGATTTTATGTGCGTATGCGTTTGGCAGTGTATCGGGTGTCGTGCTCAATGCACGGTTACGGCACACAGGCAAACCAAAAAGGAAAAATCCATACTCTAGTCTGATGCCTCCTGGCTGCTGGCAGCCCTTTGCTTTCGTCCTCTGCTTGAAGAAATGAAAACAAACACTTAGGCAGCTGGATGACTGCCCGTTTGTGAGATAGTCACGTTTGAGTTTATTCATTTCTTCTTTGTGCATTTTAAAGCCCACCTTAAAAAACAAGTAGACAAATAATAATGATGCTCTGTACATCATGTCTTGTGTTCTGGTTGGCAGGTGCAGAGTAAATTATGTAAATGTAATAATAATCAATGTGTATAATTTACAAGAACTGTCTGCATTTACATGCAATCCAGGTTCAATATAAATTGTGACATACTGCTGATTACCGCAGAAGATAATATTAACTTAGTCCCTCAGTTTATAAAAACTTAAAAGTTGTGTGTTATTTCAGACACTTTTGATTGAGTGATTGAACAGATTTCAACCTTTTGTTATATGGAGAATTATAGGCTTTGTTTTGCCCTTGTCCCAGATCCAGACTTGCCATGTTAAAATATTATCTTCAATTTTTTTAATGAATATATTACAATTAGAAAAGTTAGTATACTTATGAAGTGAGAAGAAAACTAGGAAAAACCTATATGTAAATACCATGAATAAGAATAATTTATTTTAATACATTTGAATAATTTCAATAATTTCCAATAGGATTTAATTTAGTAATTTTGAAATTATTCAAAAATGATAGCATTTATTATACAGTATATATACATATATTTGTGTGTGTGTATATATATATATATATATATATATATGCACACACATTAAATATATCATATATATCAATACATTAATATTGTTTAATTTTATAATAAAAATTTGGCTATGAAATTAATAATTCCAAAAAAAATTAAAATTTCTACTGTTGAATGCTAGAACTCACAATGTATAATTTGAGATAACACAGTAGCAGTTTATTACTTTCAGAACAAAAAAAAATTGCCCCATAGACTTCCACTGTAAACACTGCTTTACAGTTATTGCTTGCTTTTACAAACTGAGGAGCAAATCGAAATTATACAGATGTAACACTTTGTTACGCCTCATAATGGATTGCTTCAATTTACATAGAGATTGCGCAAGTGCTTATTTGAATCAGTAGATTTTGCCACCAGCACAAAAACATTAACCCCTAGCTGTTAATTAATTTTAGTTGGAATGTCCTTCACCCCACCCAGTCTCGTTTTCTTCCACTCCCCGTCTTTACCTCTTTATCTTTTTTAATGTGGGTGGGTTGAGTTCAATATTGCTTCCTGCCATGCATTACAAACTGCATGTTTTAAAGGGGGATGGGGTTTGGACCCCAGATATACACACATGAACACATGCTTCCACCAGCAGCATCATCACCCCCATCTTTTTGAGCAAACACGCCAAGCTGCTTCATTAATCCCCCGTCACTTATTAAGAGCCAACCTCATTTTTCACAGTATCTACCCTCCTTTGCTTGTATTGTTTGAGGAGAGCGCACCGGGCTCCCTCAGGGCCTCCGTCCCCCTCTCCTCTTTTTCCCCTGGAGCTGATGGGACACTTTGTCACCAGATACTGATTCTTTTTATTTTTTTCTCTCTAATCCTTTCATTCAATCTGTAATTGGTGTCGGAAAGGTCATTAAATATTTCACACCAAAACGAAAATCCTGAATACAAAAGGAGATATTTTGAAAGGTGTTCATGCTGCTATTTTCCATACAACGAAATTGGAAAGTAGTGGCTTTTTAATATCGCATGGTTATGAATGTGATATTCCATATACAACAGTTTGACTGCATGTGTAAATAAATAAGAAACAACCATGTGCAGAACTACTTCCTTCTGCCATGGATTCAAATCTCAAATTGACAGTTTAACAGCTGAGCCCAAGTCACCATAACTAATTCAAAAGCATCACTTTAGAACTAGTAACTAAGGAACGTTGAGTTGCTTCATTGTATTACTGTATTAAAAGCGATGAATTATGTATTGTAGAGTATTATGAGAGAGAGATGGACTCAGCA